TATATATATATTTGAATTTTTCACTTTACTTTTATTACAAACATTACAGTTTTCAAGAGGCCTGCAAAATAAGTTCTGTTTTATTAATTTCCCTAGTTTTTTCTGTTTTAAGTTTATTAATAAAGAAATTATAATAAACAAAATTGTAAGATAATATTATAACCCAGAGTTTTTCGAACTGTGCGCTGCGCTTCAATGGGCCATATGCTAGGTGCGTCACAGTGATTTATCTTCAGATTTGATTTACTTTAATCAGTGTCATTTGCACCTACGTAATAATTATGCACTATCATAGTATGTTGTTTGTGATTCATATGATTTCTTTTACGAATTAAATATGGATTAATTGATCCTGGCAAGTCCTTTACCAATAAACTTCTGTGGTTCCTTTAGCATCAACTTACATCCCTAGCTTGCGTCAGTGATACTTAATCTTTCTACCCATGCAGTTCAAGAGTTCTCGTGCCTACATGTCGGTAGTTTAACATGTTTGGTTGTGATTGTAATTGAATGTTGCTAAAGAATTGAGTTGGTTTCAAATATTGAACCCAAATTTGAACTGTTTAGGCAGAATAAAGCTCGTCCTAAATCTTTAGAACAATTTTGCCGTGAATTAAATGATGAATAAAATGTATTGTTTTTTTTAATATCGAATTAAAATGGCGAAATAAGAGCCTATTATATCACATATTCGTTTGTGTTAAATATTTAAAGGGCCTATGTTAATCCTTACACTTGCAAGTTATTGTCACGAGGGGACCCTTGGGAAGTTCCTTTTAGGTTAAGAGAACCATGGATGAACAAATCTTGAAAACTCGTTTTAACTTCTTCTAATTTGAATATTGAACGAAGTAATATTTTCAATAAAAAATTATTTTATAAACTAAAAATAACAATGATTACAAAAAGTATTTTACATTATTTTTGTTGTTTAAATTGTCCGCATAAAGTGTGAATGAGTGGGGAGACATCCCCTGCAGAGAGACTTTTTAAACGCTCTGTAGAAGTTTATTAATGACTACATGATACTCCCACAGACGTTTTTGATTTTTGCAGAAGATTTCGGTCATTTGGTTCTACATTGCAAGGTGCAATATTTGATACTCATGTTATCTGTTTTAACATTGTCAGATGCAAAATGTCTGCCATACACATCTAAGAGAATGTCACATGTACGTTAAGCACATTGAAGGGCGTAGATTGTTTATCATTACTTCCGCATTGCAAGATTCAGAAAGCTGTGTAAAAACAGCAATGCCCATTGAAACTATCAGAATCTCTGCCGATATCAGAACAATCATCTCAATCAAGTTACATCAAGATTCATCAAACACAGAACATGCTAAAGAAATGTGGAAATAGGATGCCTTTTCAGGGATCCAGTACATAAAAATATTGTTCTTGTGCTTTTCAAACACTGAATGAATTAATTAGTATTCCTTCCAAACTTGTGTTAGTTTTTGTAGGGATGTGACATTTTATAACAAAAGGCAATAGCAGGTGCAGTATGCAATTTATACGAAAACTGTTCATTGAACATTTGCATAATTCCAGAGCATTTTCAAGTGCGAAGTAGAGAAAAAAGAGGTGGTATTAAATAATCAAGGCAATGGAAGTATTATGGTAAGATAAATAAAATATGCAATCTCAATATTTTTAGTTTAAAACTTAATTTGTTCTAAATTAAAAATACAATGGTCTATAATATTATTCTTACAATTTTGTTTTTCATTATCTTTTCTGGGAAACAGAAAAACTACTAAAATTAAGAATACAAAACCTACCTTTCTAGTTATACTAGTGATAAGGTTATTTGAAGTGTATGCATTTGTATAGGCCACTACGGAAAAAAGTATGTTTATTTTTTGAGCGAATTGCAGAGACCCTAAAATTAAATTCTTCGAATAATAGTGTGCAATCAATTCCACTGTTTACTAATTTTATTACTAACAAAATATCATTGAAGTTAAAAAGTTTAAATAGAAGGCATGTTTAGGTTGGAAGATATGAGGCAGTAATTATGATCAACGTAAGGGTTGCGATTGCGTAAGCTTGTTGCAGTTAAATTCAATTTTCAGTTTCAATTCAATCAAAAGATTCAATTTTAGAAGAATGAATGCACAGAGACCAGTCTACAGATGCAAACATTACAATAGGTTTAACAAGCATTGCATATAATGTTTTTAAAATGTTTAGCACATTTACTTGAGACGAAACCAAGGATTTAGTTGGCTTTATTAGTCATGTAGTCAATATGGTTATCAAACAAAATTTTAGAATCGAACACCCAGATCACTAATCACACACACATTCGAGAGGTAATGCATTTACAGTGTATTGAAAATAGGCAACTGATCAGGAACGAGATAATATAAAAGATTTGCATTGGGCAACATTTAATGCGAGATAATCCTTTTGACAAAATTTAGTAAATGCATTTAGTACTGATTGTAAGGAATGTTGGTCATGTATGCATGTTAATTATAGGAATATAGTTGGGAAACTAGATAATTTACAGTGCTACAATTTGTATCAATTTCCCTTTTTAATGTGTCAGAACACAAGGTGTTTTTTCCTTCTTCTATTTTTCCGTTTTATGGAGGGGTTGATTGTAAGGGTCAAAATTTGACTTAAACGTCTCAAGATATTCTCCTTTTAATGCTTTTCATCTCTATAAAAATGCGAAACTAATGAATCAGTATTTCTCAGCAAAATGTGGATTTACTTTTTTGTACCAAGCTCGTGGGTAGATTCATTTAAAGCCTGTGAAAAACTTATGTAGTTTTTACATTGTAATTATGGTTTTCAACGTAAAAATTTTCAACCTTAAGAGCAGCTTAGCTTGTTCCGCTACCTCCTTTCTACTCCAACTTTCACTTTTTTTTCACTTGATCTTTCCTGTGTTTTTTCTCTTCGCAGAATGAAGACCAAAAATCGAACTCAATGTAAAATCAGTAATTTATCTCCCAATGGTTTTCATAGATATATTTATGCACATAATGACTTAAACATTACTGGTGGATGTGATATGTTTCAATATGAGCTTTTTAACACTGATGCAGAATGTATCAAATCTTGTTCACGATTTGTTTTATATGAAGTGAGGATAGAAATATCAGACATTTTACTATAACCGTGTGTGAAACTGGTAGTTTTGCGATTCAGGGTGGGTTTGTTCATGATGCATGTAGTGAATTTCATTGTAATTATTTTAATAACATTCTTGCATGTGATGAACTTGTAGAACTGACTGTGAGTGATTTTATATCGAGCTTTTTAACCGTCTGATGCAGAATGTTTTTAGATTTAAATAGATAATATTCTCATATGCGTGTGTGCACGTACACTATCCAGAATTTTTGTTAATTTCTTTATATGAATATTGTTAATTTATAGCTATATTTCAGCTTGTTACTTTCCCCTTTTTTAATCCTTACTTTTTACTCTGCGTTCACATTGTAAAATGGATACTTCATTTCTCAATTGATTTCTCAAAAGTTCAATGATATATTTCTGCATATGATGATTCAAACTTTACTGATTGACATGATGTTGTGTTTCAATACGAGCTTTTTAACACTGATGCAGAATGTATTAAATCTTCGATCTTTAGATCAAGTGTGGATAGAAACTTCCAAAATTAATTTTTACATAAAATTATTGCTGACATGTGATAATAAGGTTTGGCTGTATTTATCCAAATGATGAAATATGATGTTCCTACAGTTTGCTTTTTCTTAATTTCATTTGGATCATTATTATTATTCATAATATTACTGTAATGGCCATTTAGGTCTATTACAGAATACGAAACTTAAATTGCAATTTCTGAATAATCAGAAATTTGCACGTGTCACTTTTCTATTGGAGGTGCGTTATGTTTGAAAATTGTATCAATTCTTGATGTGGTGAGAACCGATATGTAGTGTAATTATAATTTAATGTTCAGTTTATCTGAAAACTTCTCTGGTACAAACACCCTAATTAAGCAACCAGAAAACAATTATTTCCTAATAGTACAGTATCCAGTTAAAAATTCTTTTAAAAGAAGTTTAAAAAAATTTCCTGATTTCTATACCTGGTGGAGAAATGTTCCAACTGAGAATTATTACAGGGCTGATATTGTCATTGATTGTTTTTTATTGGACAAGCTTTTTTTCTTGATGTGTAATGGATATGTAACTTTTATCCCCAAAATCGTATCTTGAAGCACATGTGTTAGGACTAATTTATTTTTCTTTTCTTTTACTATTCTTTTTGAACAACTGGAAATGGAAAGATGCTAAAAAAATAAATTAAAAATCTTTCTTCTGAAATATTGATAGTGTCTCTTCCTGAATGAACAACCAAACAAGTGAGTTCTTTCTTGGTCAAAGATCAGGTATATTAAATCCTCTTTAAACACAGTAGTCAAGGATTCATCTAGATTACTGTACCTGTCGGAGTGAACAATTTGTGGTTCATTGTATATCTTCTTTGTATCCACCTTTCTTATTTTAATAGGTCAATTATATCAATTTTTCTGTATAGAAGAGGTATGCTTTTACACCATTTTACCTCAGGTGGTTACATATGCTCTTTATGAAATGTTACAAAAACTTGGAAATACGCATAATTGGACTTGCCTGTTTTCCTCTCCCCAAATTTTGAAAATTTGGCAAAATACTAATATTCTTTGACAGTCTTTTATCATCAAAGCTTATTTAGCAAATAGTCATAGGGTGCTTTCCTGTTTAAACAACCAGATATGAAGGTTATTTCATGGTCAAAGTTCAGGTATATTAATTTTTCTCCTAAAACGTACTTACTTAATTTTTCTTGGTTGCTGTACCCGTTGGAGTAAAGATTCCCATTGAGAATGATCTCATTGCATTAATGACAAAATTTTGTTTTTAGTTTTTGCTATGCAACATGTGATGAACTTTAAGTGTACAAATTCGGATAAGTTGACTAATCTCGTTTTCTCTCTGCCGGTATTTTGAAATATTGAAAATTGAGTAAAATATTGCTAATAAACTTCGAAATAATTGTCCCACCTGTAAACCTTGTTTATGAAATTTAATTGGTCAAATATATGTGTTGATAATGACAGATAGATTAGTAATTTTCAGTTTTTGTTACCCCACATGTGGTCGACCCAAAACTTATAGAAACTGGGAAGCATAATTCATGTGCCTAATTTCCTTACTCTTTGCTAAATTACTTTGAATCCAATTTTGTCATCACCAGATCCTCCTTCTAAAATTGAGTAATAATTAGTATTCTAGTTTGAACAACTCGGAAAGAGTTCTTTTGTGGTCAAAAATCGGGTATATTAAGTTTTCTCTTAAACGCAGTGATTTCAAATTTTTCTCGTTTGCTGTACCTGTTTGAGTGAAGTCTCCCATATTGAGTGTTGTCTCATTACATTATTATCAAAGAGAATTTTGTAAATTCCATTTTTTTATTCTCAAAATGTGTTGAATCTGAAACACAATCAATTTGTCTGATGTCCTTTTTGCTCTTTGTATATTTTGATTAAAGGAAACCAGAAATAATTCTAAAATACCTCGAAACCGTTTTATCTATAAAGTCTTGTTACTGAAATTGAGTGGTTATGAACTTTCCTGATTGAACAACCAGAAAAGGGATTTCTTTGATGGTCCAAGATCAGGTATATTAAAAATTCTCTTAAAACGCAGAAATTGAAAATTTTACTCAGTTTCTGTACCTGTTGGAGTAAACAAGTTTCCCTTTTGAGTATTCTGATTACATTATTGTGAAAGTAAAGTTTGTAATTTCCTCTTTTTCTTTCCAAGATATGTGAGCGGATGGAGGTGAAATGTTATATGAACTTTGAATCTCAACTCGGTAGTCTAACCTCCTTTTTTCCTTGTATATTTTTGTTAATAAAAACTGGGAAAATTTATACCAAGATGCTTTGAAAACAATATTCTAGTCATCCAGTCTTGTTTGCGTCTTGAGTGGTAATGCTCCTTGCTGATTGAACAACCTAAAATAAATTTTCTTTCATGGTCCAAGGTCAGGTGTATTTAATATTTTCTTAAAACACTGAAATTGAGGTTTTTTCTCAATTGCTGTACCTGTGAGAGTAAACTTGCTGTCCCCTGATACCCAAAAGATGTTTGTTTAAAATGTCTGCTCATCTGCAAACACCACTAGCACTTAAACAATTGGTAAGATTTTTTACCAACTATAATAAACCCCTATCAACTTGGGCCTCATTTCAAATCTACCTATAAATGTGTGATAGGTCATGTTTTCACTGGTAACTCTAAATTTTCGAAGATTTCAAAAGTTACAGTTTTTTCAGTGTTTTTACAATTATAAAAAAATAGTTTTTTCCTTTAAATCATGAAACATATTTTTTTAAGCGTATTGCTTGTTTCGTCAACCCCCATAAGTTTTCTCTGTAGCATATCGCATCTATAATGATGCAAAGAATTGCGCTCTAATACCTTAAACATTTCTGTACACTAACACTGATAAATATTTCTCTTTTTCAATAATCGAAGACATTCCACTTCTGAGTAACTTTAATTGTGATATGGTAACAAAATTCTAAATTTTTTAAGAACTTGCATAGTACCAGTGGGTATTGCAGATATTTTCTTCTGAGATAGAGAATCATTGTGAATGCATACTTTTAATATGATGTTTCTAACTTTTTTTTTTCTAAGGATAAATGGTGGACATAAAAGAAGAGAAGCGAATTTATAATTTATTGATGAAAATTACTAAATGTTGACAATTATTACAGATCGTTGTTGGAATATTACATTAACAGCAACTCTTTTCTATGGATTTTTCTGGGGAGAAATAACGTGAACAGAAATAAAGTTAGTGAACATTGGTTATCATGCACACATTTCAGACATCACAGTGATGTATTGTCTTGTTAATTACTGTGAATAATATGGCTATTTTAGAAAACACAGAAATGAGTGCAGTAATTACAGAAGAAAAATATTGGTGAAATGATTGCCTTTAAATCAATGTATGCAAGTGAAATAAACTATGTTGAATCTTTACTTTGAAGTAAATGTTCTTGTAATGTTAATTTCCTCCAAAAGTGGAATTCTTGTGCCAGACTTAGAGAGTTTCCATAATTTTTCACTCCCAGGCACATTTCTTTTAACCTTGGAGATTTCTGTAAGGTTGGAATCATCAGCCAGCTCATCAATCAGTTCAGAAGAGTTTTCTAAACTGTGTGTTCCACCTTTAATTTTATAAGTAAATTTCACAAATTTTAATTGTTCATTGTGAATTTAATGTAATTTCAAATTTGCATTAAGATCTGTTCACATTTAGTGGTCACATGTTATTTATAGTTTGTTGAGTGAAATTTGTCACAGAGGTGCCAACTTTGATGAATTATTTGCAGTGATTATGGATATTGCTCTAGGTACATTTGTAGGTTCAAGAGATGAATGAAGGGTTCATTGTATTAAAAACAATTTTTATTTTGTTAAATCTTCCCTAATGTAATTAGAGTACCATCATCAACCAAGAAATTTATGCAGGAAAAACCAACATTCAAGGCACCAGGGAAACATTCAGAATAAAAGTGAAGGTTCTAATGTACTTCTGTAATATCTACAAATAAAGATATCTTCAATAGAAAATATAAACCACTCAGTTTTTGGAACGATGCTGGTAGTAAAAGGGAATGAATTTTTCTCCTACCTCTTCTCTCTCCTCCTCCCTCTCTTCTCTCTCCTCTTGCCCTCTCTTCTCTCTCCTCTTCCCGCTCTCTTCCTCTTCTCTCTTCTCTCCCTCTTTCTCTCTCTCTCCTCTTCCTCTCTTCTCTCTCCTCTTCCCTCTCTTCTCTCTCCTCTTCCTCTTCTCTCTCCCTCTTCCTCTCTCTTCTCTCTCTCTCCTCTTCTCTCTCCTCTTCCTCTCTTCTCTCTTCCGTCTTCTCTCTTCTCTCTCCTCTTCCCTCTCTTCTCTCTCCTCTTCCCTCTCTTCTCTCTCCTCTTCCCTCTCTTCTCTTCTCTTCCCCTCTTCTCTCTTCTCCTCTTCTCTCTCTCCTCTTCCTCTCTTCTCTCTCTCTTCCCTCTTTCCTTCTCTCCTCTTCCCTCTTTCTCTCTCCTCTTCTCCTCTCTCTTCCTCTCCCTTCCCTCTCTTCTCCCTCTCCTCTTCCCTCTCTTCTTCCTCTCTCTTCCCTCCTCTTCTTCCCTCTCCTCTTCTCTCTTCTCTTCCTTCTCTCCTCTCTCCCTCTTCTCTCTTCTCTTCTCTCTCTTCCTCTCTCCTCTTCCCTCTCCTCTTCCCTCTCCTCTTCCTCTCCTCTTCCCTCTCCTTCTTCCCTCTCTCTTCCCTCTCCTCTTCCCTCTCCTCTTCCCTCTCCTCTTCCCTCTCCTCTTCCCTCTCCTCTTCCCTCTTCCTCTTCCCTCTCCTCGTTCCTCTCTCTCCTCTCCTCCCCTACTCTTCCTCCTCTTCTCTCTCTCTTCTCTCTCCTCTTCTCCTATCCTCTTTCTCTCTCCTCTTCCCTCTGTTTTCAGTGTTATAATGGATGGATATTTATGAAAGATTTAAAACTGCGGCACAAGTGTTAGTTCATGTAATCTAAGGATAATAAAGTTATTAGTAAAGGAATTTTTCGTGCATAAAAAGGATTATTCTGTCTTTAGATGCTACAGATTGTTTTCAAATATTGTTGACCATCAGTTTATTATGCTGAGTTTAGTATGCAGGACACCGAAATTGCATGGTTATTTGTTTGTAGTGTTTATTTTTCCCCTTAAAGAGAGAAGTTACGTAATGAGTACACTCCTCAGCTACATTTTTTAGGTATTCACTGTTGAATCTGGAGCCCAATATTCCTATTCAATTATTTGTTTTTACTTGTCAGAGATGTTCTTATTTATTTCTTTTGTTATAGGTATGTTGTCCTCACAACAAGTGGAGGAATAATGGATCATGAGGAAGCAAGAAGAAAGCATCTTGGAGGGAAAATTTTGGGATTTTTCTTTTAATATATAATGGATTGTCTGTTCAATAAATAAAATTAAAAGATATTTTAATTTATTTTGCTTAAGACCTCTCTCCAGACCTTAATTCCTTGTGACTTAAAAATGTTTTTAAATATTTGGTTAATTCATCGGATTTTGAATTTTTGGATCATCTCTGGAAGAAATAAAAATATACTTATAACTACAGGCCTTACAGCAACTCACTTCTTTAAACTAATTTTGTGCCACCTTCACCTTTTATATACAAATATCATTTTTGTGCCTGCAAACTGTGAAGTAAATGCAGTAAGAGACAATGAACCTAAAGGAACAAGCACATACATTTAGGTCCATTTCCCCTTACTAAATTCACTCCACATTGCTGTTTTTGCAGGGACAGCAATATGTCCATCAGAAAGAAAGACGGGACAAGTGAACAAATTTTGCAAGTTCGGATACGAAAAAGTCCAAAAGAGAAGGGATTTGGGCAGTGCCTTGCTGGTAAGGGCAGCATCCACTATAGCAGAAGAAATTACCAGAAAAATGGTCTGTGCCTGATGACCTGCATATAGTGCTTTATAATGGTCACAGTAGAAAAAGAAATCCACAGCTGAAGGTCATCTTAGGACAATTTATTATTAGTTTCAACACTTCTTTGTATGGACAAGTTCATATTCCTTTGACACTTATCCAATAAACAGTGTTAGATTCATATAATTGGCAATTGTGAATTTGAAGTGGTAACTGCTTCATAATTTTTGGTTTCAACTAACAATTTGAAATTTGCTATCTTTGTTACAAAAAGTACAAAAATTTATGAGAATTGTGGTTGTGCCTGTTCTATTCATTTGGAATATCACAGTCCCCATTAAAAAGGCATGGGATGAACATTGTTTATATTTGCGAATCATTACATTGTAAAGATTTAATAACTCAACTTCATCCTAGGAAACTTATTTTATTTCATTTATTATTATTAGAAACCTCAAAAAAAATTTTTTTGAATTTTATGGTATTAACTTAATTATTTTTTTTAATATAAAAAAATAAGATAAAGTGCTTCTTGCAAGTTTTAAACAAACTGGGGATATGGGTAGATTTCAATGCCCAGTTCAGTGATTGCCAAAATTACTATCACTCAATTTTAGAAGAAAGTGAAAAATGATGGATTTTGAACTAGTCCCTTGAAAAATAAAATTTGTGTGTTTTTAAGGAATTAATTTATTTTGGACTATTTTTGCATTACATTTGGGATTGATGATGAGAAATGTTAGAATTATTAATAAAGTGAAAACTTATTTTTCAGTTGTTGGTATTACTTAAAAAATTCAATTCTACATTCAAACTTTATAGTCCTATACATTTTTTTCCCTTCTCAATTAAGGTCAACAAAACTTACTATTTAATACACTAACTTGTTAACTTCAATTAATGCTGAGAGGCTTGTCATATTATACTAATTTATAACATTCAAATAACTGTATGTAGTTACCTACAAATTCACTTTGTTAACCTGCCTTTCCTTATGCTTCAAGAAATGTTCCAGTTTTTATAGTTTTTTGTTCGCTTCCTTCATTTAGAGGTTAGAATAATGGAATTAATTTGAAAAATATTTTTGTTATCTTCTTTGTGAAATAAACAGTCTAAAATATCTTCAAAATTGCCATAATGAAAATTGCAAATACTCTGCTGTCTGTAGTTGGAAAGGAGAATGTTAATTTAAGTTTAGTTCTTATTAAATGGAGATTCAATGTTAATAAATGTTAAGATGTGTGAATTAAAGATAGTATTGAAAAATCTATAAATTGGTGGTGCAGCTATATCCATTTCAAGGGTATAGGATATTAAAAATTCCTATAAAGAGGGGCAAGTTCTTGTGTTATAGTTAACAAAGTTGAAGTTTCTGAGCAGAGAAAACTAATTTTGGTTGCATGAAAAGGAAAAGAAAATGAAAAATAATGATAATTTTAAAAAAAGCATAAAATTTCATTAAATGTTACCTTTCTTCAGAGTTGAATGAAGCTACAAATATGTTATCCTTAGGTTATCGATGCCTAAATGGGGTCTGATGTCTACCAGCCGGCTTTTAGGGAGAAAGATAGCTTAATTGTGCAAGATACAATTTGGCGATGCTTGAAATGCATTACATCTTCATTTGTCTATGCTAATACTTCTGATTTGGCACATATTTCTTAGGTGTCCGATTTCATGGATTTTAAATACTGATTACCAAAGCCTTGCGTGAGGACCACTATTGGGGGCTAATTTTCCATGCTTTGCCCCCAATGCGACAGTGAATACGGTAACCCATTTTCTACAACTGACTCCAGAAACAAATTCTGAAAAACTGAATATTTTTCTATTCAATTGTGAGTTGGTTTTTCATAATTTTTTTTGTATTTTCTCTTTAAATTATAAATTTTAATATATTTTCTCAGGTAAGTGTTAGTCTTCTCTTTGGAGAATAAACAATTGCAAGTACAAATTTTAATACTGATTTAATTTTGAGAAAGTTAACACTACCATTCTTTTGAATTTAACTTCAGAATTTACAAAATGTGAGCGATATCTTGGTTTCAAAAAAAAAAAAAATTCATCAATAGAAGAATTGTGAAAAAGGAACTTTTTCTTTGTTTCAAAAGTTGCTATTTCAACATTTCTGAGATGTTGAGAATCTTAAGGTAATACAACAGATAATTTTGCATCATTATTCATCTGATTCAAATTATTCCTCGTGAGTTGAATTCATTAGGGCATATGTCTTGGAGCACAGAATGCCATTTATAATATGGTAAAGGAAATAATCTCCACAAAGTTTTAATAATTGTTATTAATAATTTTCCAGAGTTAACTTTTGGGAAAATACTTTTCCCATCATCAGTGGATCTTGCCCAAGCAACGTCAAGATTGTCAACGTTGGGCAATATCCACTAAGGATGGGAAAAGTGTTTTCCCGAAAGTTACCTCTGGAAAATTATTACAACTTTTGTGGAGATTATTTCCTTTGCCATATTATGGATTACCACAAGATATCTGCTACCACCACGGAATTTATGCCATTTATAGTTACTCTCTTGGCAGACTACTTGATACTTGGCCATGCTTATCAACTAAAATTTACAATTCTAATCATAATAGTAATCATATCTCCAAGTCAATTCAAAAAATGTTATTCAGGTTGTGAAATTTTTATGATTAATGGTGATTTTTGTTACATAGTGAAGAAGAAAATGATGTAACTTCATTTCTTTGACTTCACTTTCTAGTTAAACCACATCAATATGATTTGCATGTTTTAAATATGTTGCTTAATTACTAATTAAATTATTTTTCAAGATTTTACTTTAATATTATAACATGTTAAATGTTTGCAGTGGTCTTCGAAACATTATTGGAATTTTAAAGCAAGGGAAGACAATCAAAGATTGGTCTCTTCCAATACTGGACATTAAAATTATTATTTAATTCCAAAGAAAACAACTAGGTGCAAATTTTAATATTTTGTTATATTTGCGTTGCAACTTTCTTTTACCTTGTTAGTTCACTGAAAGATATAATTGTAAAGAAAAATCTACTAGAAAATTTAAAGGTAAAATTTCACCACATCTGTAAATTCCAAATTAACTTCGAAATGAAAATTGAAAACATTCTCTAACATTGCCGGAATTGTGCTAATGATATTACAAAATGTGGCTGAAGTAGAATCACCATGTGCTAGTAATGCAAGCTGGGTGTCAAATTTGTGATGAAGTAATCACACTGTTTTGACTGACTATAAATGCAAACAGACCTTTATTATTCTCATTGTTGGAAATGAAACTGGTGATACTGAAGATATGGGCTTTGTAAATTGGCAATTGCTTTTGTGATATATATTTCAGGATGGATATTAAATAGCAACATGGTGTATTTTTAAACACTTCCAACGTTTTGGTTTGTGTACATTTAATACTTGATACTCAAAAACAAAGCCTTGTGCTTTAAAACAATATACAATGGTTTATTTCTTGTGTGAGATTCATGACAACTAACACAAAAGAAATCTTGTCGAGTTTCTTACTTCTACATTTTAACAAGAACATTAAAATGTTATGTACATATCATCAGTATGTACCACACTTGGATATAAGAACTTCTTATTGTCATTGTTTATACAGAAAAAAGCATCCTACACAACATGAAAATTCCTTGCAAGTAAACAAGTATCTCAAACTTCTCTTATGAGCAAAAAAGTTACTCATGTGATTTTGTTCATGGTTAATGTAAATTATGAATAATGAATTCAATTCCTTCAGTGAAGTAAAGAAAATAATTGTTACCTATTACATATGTTCTGTCTGCATTGTTTAAAAACACCTAAGTATTTCTCCATGAGCAATTTCCACTGTGTTAAGTTGCAAGTTTTCCTTATTGGGCTATTTACTAATTAGCTTATCTGCCATAATGATGCCTTACCTTTTTATGTGTTAAAAGAGCTGGACCAAAGCTACTGTTTTTAGAGATCTTTTTAGATGTTTTTACTATTTTGTGAATCATATATGTGAAACCATTAGTGTTATATGAACTATCAACAAAAGTAATGAAGCCAATAAATTAGTGGTCCCCATAAAATTTTGAATATTTTAAATGATATTCAGCAGAAAAGAAGTATTCTGCTTTCAAGAATAACAAAAGAGTATTTGTTCATGCTTTAATGCTTGAAAGTTATGTTTTTGTTTTGATACTAAATAAAATAAATATGTACATATAATGTACTTCATTACCAGGCTCTTATGATTTTTTTAGTTTTGATAAACATAAATGGAATGTCCTACACATTTATTTTGTAAATTACAAAGGAACATTTTTATTGAATGAGAAAAATATTTGATCTTTTCAGAGTAAAATTGCTAATTATTTCAGGTCAAATAATGTTAATTTACTTCACAATTTTTTTCGTTAACAAGGAATTGCCGTGAAGTAGGTGAATACCGTTACTTTCGAGATAGAAAATAACCCACTTCATCTCAAAAACTGTTGACGTGTATTTGTAAAGCCATGTATTTGTAAAGAAGAGGGAGACAGTGAATTACGTTGAGTGTGGGCTATCATACACAATTTAGAGGTTCAAAAATTATTACTATTTTCTGTTTTGTCTTGAAATTGGATTGTTTAAGATTATTATGGATGAAACTCATTATCGCAAGTGTGGGAGGTGCATCCGGGAGATTCGGTTCGCCCGGTTAATCCCGGAGAAAATACTGCACTGCCATTCGTAGTCACGTGCGCATGCGCAGAGCGCCGCGAACTCGACAGGAGTTGAGTTGCGCCTGTGGCATTCCACGACGCGGGCGCAACGCCTGTCCGCCGCGCGTGGGTGAAAGTGGTTGTTTTGTGTGTGCGTGTGTTTCAAACGTCTATGCTAAAGCAATTGTATTAGAATTAGTTATCATTTCGTGTGTTCATTAATTTTTAGATGATAACCACTGCCTGTGAAGATGAAGATACGATATCCATTCTACATTTCACATCTTCGGAACTTTCGTTTACATCAAGAGGGAATGTCCGTTGCTGTGGTTTGCCGTGCGCCACAGGTGTTGCTGGTTCCAAAGTGTAAAAATGTGTGCGCAGAGGATGGGTATTAAATTCCCCGCCTCTGAACGCTGAATGATTTATGTGTCCAAATTAGTTCGATAATAGAGAAACAAGAGGCGGACTTTAAACGATTGCGGGCAGGTGTGTGTGCGTGTGAGAGTTCGAAATAATTCGTTATGCTTGCTGATTCATTAAGACACAATTGTTGTAGTTTAGTAGCAATGGAAGGAAATGAAAAATTCAAATTATACCATTACAATAAATATTTACGAAAACGAACTGGAACCCCGAAGAACAGCTTCCGAACTCTGGTTCTACTATTTATGTTTGAAATCGTTTTTTCTTCGTGCAGAGCAGGTAAGTTATCAATTACTGTTGCATTTTTGTTCATTTACATTCTCTTCTATATAACTTGACTATTTTTCGAGAGCGTGTGCAATGATTTTGTTTTGTGAATGTATCTATACGTAATTAATATTTGCAATACTCGTCTCAGTGTTCAGTTTACCAAACCTATGCGATGTTTAGCAAAATAATAATCAATTAAAAACCGTATTCACAGCGAGGTGTGCAACCCTAAAGGCATTTAGCTCTTGCTTTGTTTAAATATCATACTTCCGACTTGGCGCATACTGTTGAAGTCTCCAGCTTGCCAGCGGCCCGGCCGCACTCGTTTGCTGTTGATAACCAACATTTTTAATTCTTATGATATTGGAAGATAATGGTTTTTAGTTGAAGGGAAGTAAACGGCGTGTGTTAAGTCCTATGCAACTATTGACTTTCCTAGGACACAGTTTGTTTACTATTGTATTTGTTGAGACCAATAGCTTCGCAGGAGGGTTTCTTCCGTTGTTAAATAAATGTGCCTTCACAGTTTATCGTCTAGTAACAGCAAGTTTAAAAATAATTGTTTGTATTTATACGAGACATTCTCTTCCGTTTGTTGGGCATTTACGTGTATGATTTTTTTCCTTTTGACGATAATACTATTGTCTGCTCTTGTTAAATGTAGTCGAAGGATAATGTCTGCAAAGAAAATTTCTCAATCGAATGAATCATATATATATACATTCTAAATCTATTATAATGTAATATTCAGAGTTTACAATAACTCTGAATATATTCCGCTGATTTTAAAAGCTTCATTAAATACTTAGTAATTTTATTCGTAAAAAATATTTCACATTACCTCATAACATTCACCGCTAACACAATGTAAAAACTAAAAGAGCCGATTGCAGTTACATTAATTATGATTGACACTTTGGGTGGCTCAGGAAGATAGTATATGATTGGGAGTGTTGCTTTCTATTGAAGTACCCTTGCGCTTACTTTTAATTGCTAATCAATTTTTACGGCATCCCTATGTTTACGCTAGTAAATTACTTGACAAATTAATTCATGTACTAACCTTCTGCTCATGTTATTTCGAACGTTTCGTTTAAATAGTACTTGGGAAGTATATCCTATTCAGGTGAATTCGGGCTTGGAAAAAAAAATGAAATGAATGTTCCGAAGAATCTGACAAATATCGAAGACTTGTTTATTCTGAATATTTTTAGGATGGATAATTAATTTAATAGATTTTTTTAAACCGTGACACACTATGACAATATTAACACATCGTCAGATATTTATGAATTAAATCCATTCAGATTTTTGAGGTATTGATTAGCACTTTATTCACTATTCCAATGATCTTAGGATAAATGGCGAGTTATTGAAATGTGTATTCCTTATTTTAAGGGTCTTATTAATTTTTATTGAAATGGCTTGCAGCTCCAGAGTTTCTCGCATCCTTTAATTAAGAAACTCCTGGCGACTTTCTCACTCTATATATCTATCTACTTCGATTCCCGTTGGTAAGTTCGTTTACCTGATCTCGTGACGACCAGTAAAGAACTGCCCATAACGTATACAGTGTGTAATATCGTTTTTTGTTTTTTGTTTTGATAAATTGGATGTCGGTGACACTTCAGTTATACTCGGCGATATAGTTTTCAGTGGCTGATAAATTTGCATTAATATAGTACGTCTTGATTTTCCTCTATTAAAATATCAAATTCGTTATTTTTATATGCATTTTTTATTGATTTGTCACAAGAACAACTATCAACCTTGGAATACCTTTATATAGAAACCCTCCAATTGTAATTTTTGCTCTCCATCAAGTCTATTGTATTTATTGATTGTAAAAATAAATAATATTATATTGTGAAACTTTAATATTAATGGGGAAAAATGTACATGAATGATCTAAAAATATAAATAAGTGGTTTATATTTTTGCGGCGTTTTTAAGTTTATGAAATGGTTTAGAATGTAATTTTTTACACTAGTTAATACTATGTAAAATAATCTAATTTCTTAAAATAATAAAGCATGAAAATATCATTCTCTATAAAGAGGCTGGTCTAATAAATTATATATCATAAAACAGTAATGCTTAAAAAATTAAATTAGTAATGTGAAGATAATTATGAGAAATGTAATTTGATTGTATTATATGGATGTATAAAGAATATCTAACAAAAAGTTACAACCATTTTTCATAAAATTTTGAAAATGTGACGGGGACTTCAAGTAAAGAACCCCCCTCCCCCTCCGTAAAACAAAAAATTATGATTCATCGAATAGCTAGGACTTATTCCTGACATATTTAATAAATTTCAGTTCAAAATCTTCTAATCTGACCGTTATGCGTAGAACATCCAATACAAACGCACAGACATTCCGATTTTTGATATAAAATGGTATCTCCTCGCTACCTGTATCTGTCGTAACCATCTGTGAATAAATCTTCATGTTGACGTGCGTGCTTACAGCTTAATTGAACCATAAACACAGATTTTACATCTGAAAATTCGGGATTGTTAAATTGAGATGGTTTTCGTTTCTTTTCCTCCCCATACCATCATTTGGGGTGGAAAATGTACAAAGGAATAATTTCACCTCCGCCAAGATAAAATTATTAATGAAATTAATCTGAATGTTTGCTCCCTGTCAAAGGAATGCTGGCACAAACGAGTCGTTGGGGAGTCGCGAGGTCTTGCATTGAGAACCATGGTACCATCTTTATTGGAATTGGATTAATTGGAAGTCTGCCTTTTCTGTTTCTCACGCTTAATATACTCCAATATTGGGCATTATCTTATCCTCCCGCTGTGTCGCTGCAGTGACATCATTGTTGTCTTCAGCTAACTTAGTCGTTTTTTTACGAGGAAATTTTCTCGTATTAACATTTTTCAATATCAAACATTTTGAAAAGCATTGGCATTGATGAAAACTCTTTTCATTAACTGGCGAAACTTTCTTTACGCTACATCAGACTGCTAAATGTTACATATTATAAGAACTAGTATGTAGATTATTACAGGATTTTTTGACGAGGCTATTCTGTGCACAGAGGTGGGTGTAGCTCTGATGGGAATGATTAAGAGGGAGTCTATGTTGATTGTTGGTGGTCATGGAGGCAGAGGCCCCAGCCGCGCGACCAGAGCGAGGAACCTGTTGGCTAGCTCACTCCGTTGCTTGCGTGAATTCGTGGTCATACGAGCCAGGCTAATCGCGAATCTTCGATCTTGTATCGTTTCATGAACGTTCTTCCCATTTGTGGGGATTCGTTCTCCGGGTTCAAGTTGTTTCAGCGGGTAAAAGCCGAAAAAGGGGGTCCTGCTTTCCCTAATAAATATTTGCCAGTGACGGTTCTGGAAAGGATTTCGGGGGAGGGGGCTAGTTTAGTTCTGATTTCCCGTGCCTCCGAATAAAGAAACACGACATATTTTTTAATGTGATATTTTCTTGTAATTACTTCCGCTCGGGTTTAATGAGATTACTCTTTTCTTTGGATGATTAATCCCCATGATCAATACTATATGCTTCTAAATTTATTGAAATAAATAACACAAAAATAGTTGGAATGGGGGGGGGAGGCAAATACCGCTTTCCGGCGGATTTCCTTATTTTGATATTTTGTTTGCAGAAAGGTATACATGCATTTCTGAATAAATAATACTTTTTTTAAATTTTATTCTATGATAAATAACTTCGATTTTAAATTAAGATGTTAAAAATACAAAAGAAACATCAACTAGACCTAGTGTATATTTAGTGTTTAATTCTCATTGCACAATTTACTTTGGCAATGTACATTGTTTGTACAATTGAAATTTGATCTTTTCCCCATTCTTTCGACCACCAGCACGCACACACAACGCGCAGAGCCACACGCCAACCCCCTGCGCCCGCGCGCACACCACACAACACACCACTATATAATATAATTTTATATTTTTATAATTATAATATAATATATAATTATATATATATTAGTAGTGACTATGTAATAACTGTCACTAACGATGAGGTGCAACCGACAAGTATATTCTAAAAATAATTTTTTTTTTCTTTCAAATTAAAATACTAACACTCCCAACATGCTCCAGTTTAATATTTAAACTTTATATAAAGGGGGAATCTGAATGAAACATTACTGATTAATATACTAACCTATAAGTAAGTTTTGTAATAAATGCTCATCAACTTGAGGTTTTGGTAATTGAGACATGCCGTACCTCGCGTTCTTTGTGCAAAATAAATCCTGAGCATAGAACGTGTCTTGTCATTTTTTGGTGCTGGTTAGAGTGCACTAGCCCTTTTGGGTTGGCAAAGCTTACTTAGGCGTCCGCAGGGATAAATCTGTTTACGGTTCGGGTGACATTAGCCCGTGTGGGTCGAGGGGAGGCCGATAGGGGCGGTCGGACCGCAGCGCTCCGATTGCAGCTGCCACTAGCGGCCGAGGGGAGCATTATTTCTAATCTGCATAACGAGTTCTCCAAATGGCCCCGCGAGCGACCGGCGCCCGACGGATGGAGCGCTGGAGCTTTGTTGGGGCAGGTCGCAATGTTGACGCTATGGCTACGAGGCCAGGCGCGATGGCCTGTCAGGTGTTCGAAGCGCTCCGTCCGAATGTCACCAACTAGTATATATTGCCGGATTTTTTTTATCAAGTGTTGACTGCTTGCTCGCAGGGGCGATCCGCGCTGGTAGGTGGCGCAGAGACCGCTCACACAAGTCAATCGCCGCCGAAACCGGAGTTCAAAACCCGGTCGATCCGTGTGGAATTTGTTGTGAACAAAGCGGACTATCGGCTGTTTTCTCGGGGGTTTTATTTATTTAACATAAAAGAACAGTTGTCACGCAACCGTCAAAATCATTCAACCCGAGTATGGCCGAAAAGATGGGGAACTGATATCGTAATAAAAATAAAGTATATTATTGCAGGGGCGAATCGTGGTGTTGCGGTCACGCCTTTCACCGCTGTGCCTGGGATTCAAATCCCGGTTGGTTCGCGAGGAAATAGTAGTGGATAAAGCGGGATTGCGGCATGTTTTCTGACAGTTCTGCTGTTTTCCCTGCCTCTCGCATCACCATTGCCCTCCATCATTCATGTTGTATCTTCATGATCACATATCCATCAAATTATTCATATGATACAATTTTTCGTCATCCGTACGTTATGTATTACCTTTCTTAGGCATTGGCATCAAATAATTAAATTATAAATCCGATCTCCCAATCCACTACTATGTATTTAGTATATATTTTATATCATGTGTTCAAATGTTAGCGAGCATAAGAGGAATTTTTTGAATTTTCATCTTTTCTGCAAATGTATATTGAAAATTGTTCATTTTTGAAGAATTGTTTATTGAATTCAATTAGTAAAAGTTTTATAAATTTATTAATAAATATTGAAATAAGAAAAATAACTTTATATCTGAACGCTTGTACATTCCTGACTTTTTAAAGAAAGCGAAAAACTCAAAATTCCACTGCTGATTAGATACGACGCAGAAAATTTCAATTGTAGTGACTCTGACTCGATATGGGATCTTGGGCAGTTCAATTGGCAGCATCTTTTCTACGTAGAAGTCTAAATGTACCGATATCGTGACCGAACACGCATCGTGAAAAGTTGCGTAAACCGCAAAATGCAATTCACGATCAAGACACGCTAATTGATTTTCACGCAAAATACATTGTGTGAGGAATTTGCAAATCTTGCATCTTTTTCTATTTACTGAAACCGTATTTTTCTGGAAAGGATGCGAGTCCAATTCCAGGATTCTCTGGAATTCTCGAGGAAATTCTGTACAATTCAGTTATCTCAACTTGCAGATACTCAGGATACAGAAATTTCTCGGAAACTCTGCGCGCTTTCTGAACAGGGACTCATCGTTACAAGTCTTTTCCGTGCGATTTATTATTGGAAAGCGTTGTTCGACAATGATGCGGCTATAAAAAGGAAGGGCGAAACACCGACACGCGTCCAAATCAAGGAACAAATGCCGGACGGTACTCGCTGTAACAGCAGCGGATGTTGTTACGTAAATTGAGATGATAGGATGATTGTATTCGTTAAGCGTGCGGAGAGCAGCTTTAACCCTGGAAGGTTCGGGACGATCTTCTGAAATTAAGTTATTAGTGATGTGAGGTTTAATATTTATTTGTGAAATCTTTAAGAATTTGTAAATGAATTGTTTAATTTCAATTCAGCTGTGCAATTTGTGTGATGGAGATACTTCTTACCTACAATGTATCGCGTAGCAAATTGTTTTATTATTTTTCTGACAATTTTCCCATTTTTCTGGAGCCCCATTTTTTCATATAATTAATGTGTTTTTTTCTATGAGAATTAATGCAATGGTTTAATGGAATGTAAGCTAAACCACATCTGTATCTTCCCAGAGTACTCTATCAATTTTAAACGTAATTTAAAATAAGCTTTCGACCTTTTTATTGATCCATCCATTTTGGGGCGAAGGTTCTTGGTGACAGAAGCTTTTTTATATAAAAGTATTGAGAAAAGTTTTAATGCTTATTGAAATAGTTGATGGGTTATATGAAAGTTATTTATACTTAAATCCCGGAATCAATGTAATGATTCTTAAAGTGAAAGACACGGGTATGAATTGGTATTAGTTTGCTCCAATTAATAGTCTTTATTATACAATAATAAAATATAATAATGGTAATGGTTGTTAATTATTTCAAAGCACGTTGAAATCAGTAACGTGTTGCAGAGGTCATATCTCTTTGGGTGGGATATCGCAAAACTTACCTGAATACTGGTTTTAAAGTTCAATGTTACAATATTCACGAATTTGATAATTTTATACTAGATTCTTAGTGAATTACCATTTGAAAAATATTTAGATATTTCAAGAAAAGGATATGTTTTTATTGCGAGATAAGTTGTGATTCACTATCTATTAAGTAATTTAAAAGTTTTTGCTGTTGGTATTCCATAGTTCAGGAAAAGAAACACTTCAATATTTATAACTACTACTTTTTTCAAAATATTTACAAATGTCATGAGAGCGTTTTCCCAACCATGTTCGTGATTGAGTGATTCACTCTTTTATCCCATATTCGTAATCAACTTGATAACAAGTGATGCTTGCAATAGTAGCTTATATTTTCTCAAATGCTGATAAGGGTTATTCCGTATCTTTGATTACCTAGTTGCTGATATCGTATTATGTCACTTGCCTTCACTGATATACAACATTAAAGGATTTATAGGAAACGAATCACACCTGAGAAGAACTTTTATCCACTGCCTATTCCAACTTTTTAACTGTTCACGAATAAACTTACTATGCGATTAGAAACCTTTTAAATTGACTTGTGTTTCCTTTCCTTGAAGCTGTTTCCGAAGACATTTTTTTTATTTCGAGACTCCCTTGAATCGTATGACAAAAGGATTGTTAAAAAATGTAAACTCTTTTTAATTGAAACGTCCTATACTTCCGTCATGCTATATTCCGTTTCTTAGACGTTCAAATTACATAGAGGGAATACTGTTCTTTCGAGGACACGACTCAGCTGAGTTACGTGCTGAGGTTCGATTTTTCTGCCTTGAGAATCTTACGTCTTTCTCCTTCATCTCTATCTACGAGCAGTAAACTAAGATTGGTTTACTTTTACGAAGGCCCAATTGATTTTTCGTGACGGCGGAGGCACACAACCCTACGAGGGTTGAACCTGAGTGCTTTGTTGTACTTCGCCGAAGAGAGATGGACATTTGTAGGTTTCCGAGACGCCGTAATTTTATAAACAAGTTTCGTAACATATTATTAATATTTGTTCGGACCTATCTGAAAGCAATATTCTTTTATAAATTTGAATACGAAAATACAGTGACTACGTAGGAGAGAGATATATTGTTTTTGTTTGCAATGCCGAAAACGTTTAAGATTGGTTCATTGGCCCAACTCCGACATGATGTGAATTTGTTAGGAATTTTCGATCTGCGACTCTGACGGCTCTGTGATGTCAGTAAATTTTGAAGTCGTAGGCTTCCTCGGCCAGAGTCATGTGCATGTGGCTGTCCGGGTGACGCTGCGTCAAAGGCTGTGTTGCCGACGTTTCGATCATCTTGTCGTGGTCTTTCTCAGGGTTAGTATAATCATACCAGCCCTGAGGAAGACCACGAGAAGATAGTCGAAACGACGGCAACACAGCCTTCGATGCGGCGTCACCCGGAGAGCCCAGATCACGCACGTGAATAAATTTTGATTCGTATTTTTGCTGTAATGGATCGCCACAATAACAGTATCATTATTATTCATCCGCTTGAAGCTACCCCGGTAAGCAAATACGAGATTTGATTAGTTCGCAGACTGTAAGAAGGTTTAATTTTGCCAATAATTTAGCAAATATTTGAAAATATGCAGCATGTACTGCATGCATTTTCCACCCTATGAAAATCCTTGATTGTCAGTCGTGATGGATCCCACAATCTGAAGATTCAGATTCCACTACATAAGCAAGCTCATTCATCCAAATACGAATTTGTTGTGTCACTTAGAAGTTACGGAGAAATGCAAGCAACGTAGTCAGGTAAAATTAAGGTAAGATTGGCATTAAACCGATTATTAAACTTTTAATTTTGTATTTATTGTAACTATTTCACTTATATTTTTATAACTTACTCTTTCTATTCCAAAGGTTGCATTAACGCTATGCCTATGGCTATACCGAATAACCCGTTTAAGATGTGATTTTGTTTCTTTTTTATTTGCTAGCAAATCTTGGGACTACACCGCTAGAACCCAGAGAACGAATTCGAATACTTTATCACAATAGATTTGCCAATGAATGAAGAATTCAGTACTGGTTTTCATTTTCATGTACCCATAATATTTTTTACGAATTCCGTTAAACGGAAGACTAATTCGAACTATTTCCTTTTTGTACTTCACGTGCTAAATTGAAGTATTAGACTCAGAAGGGTAGTGCTGTCATTAATCCGGTTACAGAAGCGATGATGCATGAACTGACTGCGTGGGAAGGGAGGCGTTGGAGGCTGCCGGAGCGTCTGGCTGTGGGATGCGGCGTAATTACGCGTGTGTAATTTAGTCAAAATCAGAAATTAATTGCTTCAGATGAAATTATTTAGTTGAGTCTGGGAAGTGGTCCTGTGATGTTCACACATTGTGCTAACGGTAGAGGAAGATGGCATGCGTTGCGTGATTTCCATCATTTTTTTTCCAACCGTAATCTCGATAAGACCATACAATGTATGTTCATTCTGTTGAGAACCACTATAATAAGAATTGGATTTTGTCGTTTTCTTTAGTTCCTATTTTCGTGTAAAGAAAGCTAGAACCAAGAAATACATAGTTGCGATCAGAAGCCTTCACCTATAAAATGAGGTAGCGCTTGGAACAAAATAGACGTGAATTTCAATCCGGTTTTTATTATAAAAATATGTACAGCAAGAAACGTATGGAATTTGACTTCATTTTTCCCACACAAAAAAGCCCTTTAAAACACGTTGCGACTTGATAGCTGGTTCTATGATTGACCATCTGAGAATGTGCATTGCATATTGTACCCGTTCTCGAAGTAATACCTATTTTGAATGTCTTTATGTGTTTATTTTGGTATCATATATATATATATATATATATATATATATATATATATATATATATATATATATAAGTATATTCTAATGCCAATATTTTTGGTTCCTGATATTGCACAATGGTTTATAAAAATACAAATGCTCGTAGATTACAATCACTTCGGAAATATAAAATTAATATGCGACTGTGAAGATTAGGGAAGAACATGAAATATTTATGACTGTAGATTCATTCGTTAGCTTTTCTGTGATATTCGAATGAAATGCGGAAAACCTCAACGTTATCTGTTTCAGGTTTTAATTTGCATCCAATCAGTTACACTGCAATTTAATCCGATTAACATCGAATGGTCGTTACATGCCGCGTGGTGAAATTCACGTACTCGTGATAAAATATCACCTCGAATCATGGACAATGAGTATACAGCTCTTGTGATAACTGTCAAAATTTTTTTAGTGCGAATTTAATTAAGTGGTAAATTTGTGTGAATGAAGTGGTGATATGTGATTATTGTATTTTTATGTCATTCATAATGCAATGAAACGATGTTATGTGTATTACAGATCGAGAACCACCGACTATTGCAGGGTTGAAACCATCTCATTGTTACTATAAAGTTATACATTCACCTGAACCAGCTGCGAATTCCTAATTATAGTATTATCGTCGCAAAGTTAATTAATCGAAGATTGTGTGGTATTGCACAGTTCGAGCGATTGTGAGCATCGATTTGGGTTTCGTAGCGCGATTCTATATTGCTTACACACCAAGTCTCCAGATATTTGTAAATGTTAATGTCTCGATTTTAGAGAAAATATGGCTTACCTTGTCACTATAGGAGTATATTTCTTGCTTATAGAGATAGATAGAAATAGAGATAATTTTGGAATAGCTGGAGGTTTTGCTGTGGCTGGTGTGGCTCTAAGCTCTTCAATTGTAAATGTGTCGACAATCATAATTGTGTATTGGTTCTTTAATATTTCTAGTCTTGTTAGTTACTTAAATTGATCTGTCTATAAAATTTCACTTAACCAGATGTCTGTGGGATCAAACTTATTCAAGAGGCTTTATTTTAGGTTGTTCCTTTTTTTTTAACTTTAAATTAGACCCAGGTATACTATCAGCGAAGAATGACACAACCGGTCACATTTTACAGGTCAATGAACTAACAAATGAATGTATGAATCCTCTTTTCCAGTAAGGCTACCATTTGTAGTGCTGCTATGGTTTTGGATTTTAAAAAAATCAGGGTGATTTACCTTTTTCCGAAACCTGTTATAGATCTTCAAATCAGATAGCTGCTAAGTATTCCAGTACTGGGTGACTGAAAGTAACAAGTATGTCATAGTTACCTTTGATATTGATGTACTGTTGGCTGCATGAGGAGGGAGCGGAGCTCAAAAATGGCAAAATTCCCGAATGTTGGAAACGAAAGAAACAAATTCTCGAAGGTTGCGGCCCAAGAAATTCCGAGAAGGCTGTTGTTACACCTTCCTCTCGACGGGTCAGGCAACGTGCGGCCGCGGGATGCCGTATGGCGCACATCCCTTGTGCATTGCCTGTCGCCAGAACCCCCGTTCCCTCCCGCGGTCGGCACCCATTCCCCCCGACCGTTCTCCCACAATGCCGCAATTACACCTGCTCGCCCGCCCGCCGGCCAGCCTTTCAAGCGCGCTGCAAAGGCCTACGGCCTAGAGCACCTTGAGCGAGTCGGGAGGCTATTCAGGAGTCTTTTCCGGACGGACAAAGTGGCCGGAGCCCGCGAGGGAGAGGTCGTTTTCTTTGAAGTTTTTAAACCTCCCCCTGCTGCGGCGAAGCGCGCAGGTAGCGCGGCCGCCCGCGCCTATTTACCCGCGAGGTGGAGGCGGGGACGAGCGCACCCGCTTCGCCCCGCGGGGACAAAGGGCCCAGCGGAGACGCGAGCGCCTTGCGCGACGAGCACGCAGAATGTGGGTCGACGTCCCCTCGCCCTGCCCCCGCGAATCCTCTCTTGGGCCCCTCTCCCCGCAACCGAAGTTGTGCTGAATTTGATTTGATTTGGCTGATGATGAGACTCACCTTCCTGGGTAATGTTGCCGGCGCGGCGTTTCGTTCACTTTCTTTCGTTCTTTCTTTCGTTCACTACGGCTTTCTTCGGGACGTGATGGAAGTTCGTCCCATCCTGGGCAATGTGAAGCGTCATTGTGACCGTCATGCTGCGACCATCGTCAGAAGTAGTTGGAAGGTCACAGCATGGGGGTTGAAACGCAGACATTATCCATTTGGGTTTTGGATGAACCAGATATCAGGGACTCTTGTGAGCATTTGTTTTGGTTTTTGTTTTCCACAGTGAGATTCCATTCTTAAGTTCTGACTTAGGTAAATGAGGCTATATTGACGTGTCTACGTGCAAGTAAACTAACAGCAGCTATTATTGTAACTACACTTTTGCGAAATAAATTTTAAAAAAGAAATAAAGAACCTGAAGGGAATGCGTACAGAATGGTATGTTTCAAAGAAAACTCCAATTGACTCCATTTATAATTGAGTTATAGTTATGATTTTTCATAAGTTTGTTATTCACAGCTATTTTTATGTTATGTTTACATCAAATGTCTCTTTAATACCATTATCGACGCCGAAGCTAAAATCGTAAAAGGATATATCAATAACGTTCCATTAGTTTCGGTAATAGTGTACAATCGGATGTGCGTTAAGTGACTACTTTCTCGTTGCCTTAAACAACATCCTCTATACAAGCAGAATGTGGGTTGAAGATAGAACTTCCTTATTGAAGTAAATTTAACGCAGTTTTACGAAATAAGTTTTCAGGAAGAAGTTGTCGAAGAACGGAAGCCCTATAATCTACGATATCCATCACACGTAATAGAAATTGTCAATAGAAACTCATAATAATGAAACGCCTTTAGTGTCTCCTTCAATAAAAATCAATTCTTATATTATATGCCCAATTAGGACTTTTAATTGGTGTGTGAACGGAGAATAATTTGATAATTCAAATCACCACTCTATTTTAATAGTGTTTTAATTTCATACGTTGTGTCAGTGAACTTTGGTTTTTAAACTTTGCCGGATCAGAAGACGCTTTGCAACCAAGAACTGCCATGACTCACTAGTATCAGTCTTCGTTTTAATTATCCAATCAATTTAAGGGAGCTAACTATCAGAAAGAAAGTTCGTCCTTGCTCGATGATTCCGCGATAGGACATGAATAGCAACTTTTACTGTAAATTCTGCCTCTCTCGATACTAATCATGCTAATTTCACTATTGTTATACAAATGCGACTCAAGTCGTTTGGTTCTGCTGATTGTTTTTTATATTGTCTAATGAGTGTGTTTTTGGCATTACTATTAGTATTGAACACCACAAGATAATTTGCAAACAATGTAGAATGTTTTAATAGGAACTTTCACAGTGGACAAAATACGTAATTTACCATGTTAATGATTCAAGAAAATTATTCTAATCTTTTTCAGGATAATCTTAAAACTAAAACTCTGTGGATAATAATAATAATAATAATAATAATAATAGTTGTTATTATTACAATAATTGTCATAAATAACGAACTAATTTGAAAGTCATGACATTTCAGTTTTAATATTTTTCGCTGTTTCAGCAAAAGAGGGGCACTAATAAGCAAACGCTATTTATTATTATTGTTATTATTATTGTTATTATTATTAATATTATTATTATATTTCATTTCTATTTTTGACCGTCTTTTTTTCATAAACGTTTAATTGATGCAGTGCAACACAATATGCTATTATTTGCTGTATATGTTAATCTGGTGATAGTGCCTTAGATTAATCGGGCAAACGTTGGATTTGCCATTAGTATTCTGATATAGCGTTCTTCTCTTCCCATACAAATTATCGACTTTCCCTCCTGGGAATTGCCTCCTTCGAAAGGCGAACGAAAGAGTCCGCCTTCAGCGCCGCCGACGCACCGTTGCCTTTTGTCTTTCTGGCCGCCCGGCCCTCCTTCGCACCGAAGTCCTTTGCTTCCACCTTCCCGTTGCTCCTGCCCTCCCCTCCCCTCCTCCCTCCCGCCCGGCGCCCACGCCAACTTAGCCCTGCCGCCCGCCTCTCTGTCGCCCTTGCCCGCCGCCCCGCTCCCGCCCGCGCCACCGCCCCTGCTCCTGTCAGTCGCCCGCCGCTTTTCGGGAGCCCCTCGACGCCCGGAGCTGGGCGAGAGGCCCAGAGAACCCCGCCGCGGGCCGACGCGGGGCGGGGCGGAGAGCACAGTGGAGACATTCATCCCGTGCAGACAGATGGATTGGGACCTTCGAGGAGTGGTGGAAATTCAAAATTTTGGTGCGTGTTGGAGATCAGTACATTGGGCAGTGTCAGTAGTGTGTTACTAACACCAGTGCTAGTCGGTGGTATTTTTTTATGGTTCGCTTCGTCTGGTGCGGTTTTTTTTGTTGCTCTTTTTCTTAAAACAACGTAGGGAACCGGTAGCTTCAGTTTCAGAACGGTACTAGAATGCCTTTGCAACATTATTCTAACATCTCTTTCTATCATCTTATTTTGAAGAACATTTTCAAGTGAAATTTAACGATACTCAAGCTAGGTAATAATTGGAATGGAATCTTCATAAAGTTTTGTGCATCTTTGTGCAAAGAACAGTATAATTTAAGATATTTTAAATATTGATTTAATTTGATATTTGTCGCATCGAGAAAATGTACACAACTTCATTGTGAAGTTTCACTGAAGAGACTTCGAGTACAGTTTTTAAGATTTTACATAATACTATATTGCGAATAATTGGCGAATAATCAGTGAAAAGTGTATGTGTCGTTTAGGAAGGCAGGGAGAGAGTGCTTCCTTTACTCTTCAGAAGCAAAGCAAGTAACCGTCTCAACATTTACACAATGCATCAAGGGAAACTAGACAAAAACCCCGATCGAGTAGGGGTTAAAGACCCAGAAGGACGAGGCAGTAACATTTCGTCCGTTTCAGTGGAGAGACTCCGCACTGCGTGGAGGTGGCAGGGGAGGAGGAAGGGGGGGGAGTACGCGCCCGGGTCTGTAAATTAGGGAGCGGCGGCGGAAGGTCCGGCTAGGCAGGACGTCCGACGCCGCCGCCTCCTTATCAGCGAGGGACGCACTCCCAGCAGCGCGCGCGCGGCCCTGTTCCCCGGCCGCCCCCGGCCCGCCCCTGCTCCCGCCCTCGACGACCACGCACATTATTTGTGGGTCTTTAGAGAGGCTGTCCCTGAGTTTCACCCGCATACCAATCTCGTGAAGTGGCGGCGGGGCGGGGGGTGCTTTTGTAGTCGTATTGTGCGTGAGGAGTGACAAAGACGGGAAGCAGAAATTCCATAAGGCTTAAGTGGGCACTTGAAACATCGTTTGCTTGAAGTGGGCGAATGGGAGAGGAAGAAGTCGGTGAAAATCCGCTCTAAATTTTTACTACGAATGTAAATCTGAGAGAGTAAGGTAGTAGTGAATAGTGCAATTATGTTGTTTTTAGTGTTCTGGAAAGGAAATTTTCCATTGAATTGTTAATTATTTTCCTTAATCTTGATGTGTGTACATAAAAATTATTCAATTAAAATGTAAATTGTTGAAATTTGCCATTGTAGATTCTAGAATTTGCTTTCAAGATTCGTTTCTTATAATTCACGTTTTAATGCGACT